TGTATAAAAAATTATTTGTGCGTGCGCCAATGAGCAGATTACAAAGAAGAAGAAGAAGAAGCAGCAACAGCATCAGCATCATCGGCCGAGTACTGAATTAATTGTCAGCGTTTTAAGCGCGTTTAAAGTCGCGCTCAACTTCATAAATTTGCAGGCATAAAAGTGCGGATAATAAAAAGTGCTCGAAAGCGAGAAATTGTATAAACTGCCCTGAGGCGACTGCGACAGCGAGTGCAGCGGTGAATGTAATTAAGTATAAATGATTCTATAAATTAATTGCTTCAATCAAGCGCAGAAAATGCGATATAAATATGCAGATATATGTGCAATAAATACAAATTAATATCAAGATTATTCTTTCTTATGTTTAATATAATTTTAATTATTTTAAATAATATTGTTGTATTTTATTGTATTTGTATTTTTTATTTTTATTTAATTTGTACAGTATATATTAAAAATATATATAATATTGTATTTTATTCCATGCAAATTTATTTGAATATTCAATTTCTTCTCTCACACATAAATCAGATTTCTTTTCCCTGTCATTAACTCGAACATAATAAATAATTTCCCATAAGGCAGTCACACACAAAATTTACTTATTTATACATCTATGAGAAATGCCGATCGCCACTTCCCATACTGCCCAAGATGGGCCGCAAGACAAACTAATTGCGGTAACTTCATCAAAATCAAATACCACAAACGAAGGCAGCCTGCCTTGGCGCTGCAGCAGCCACGCCCAAAAAGCAAAAACAAAAAGCAATTTGCAAAATGATCCACAGATGGCTGTGTAAATCAATCGGCTGATTCACTTTAAGCTTTACCGCACCATAAACTCTGCCATTTTATGGCTCTGTGGATATACATAATTGTTGCTTATGCAGCTTTGCTGCTGGCCAAGTGTTGGTTCCTCTTGGGGGGCGCTGCGCTTAGGCAAATGCATGGGAGCTGCAGCGGCGCCAATTGGCAACTGGGCAGCCAGTTTGTGGCCGGCTTTGGCCACGACAACAATTAAAAAGAAATGCGCACAGCAATGCCAATTGGCAATCGCGGATGTTTGTGAGGAGTGTACGAGGCAGCCTCGCCACCCCTGTGCCCCGCCTTTGGAGCAGCTCCGCTCTTCTGCTCGGCAGGTAACAGTGCACCTTTCGCTATTTGGCGCGTGCGTCGACTTTTCGTGCTAGTTGGCATCTTGGCCAGATATGTATCGCCTGGGCCATTACGAGTTTATTCCACTCCGGCCAGGAATTTCAATTGGTCATTGCCAGGCAAAGTTGATAAACTGGAAGCCAGCCAGGCAGGAGGCGGTGCGTTACGCCCCCGCCACAGCAACTCGTGTAATCTTGCGCCTGGGCTATTTGGTCGTCATTAGCGCCGCAAAGTGGCAAACCGGCTAACAATCTGCCCGCCCGCCTGCCAGCCTACCAGCCCACCAGCCAGCTTAGCTTAGCGTCGTTATCATTGCCACCGCCAAGTGCTGATGTTGTCAGCAAACAGGTTGGCCGGCCGACTCTTTAGGCCAAAAACTGTAGCAGCCGCTGTCACTGCCACATGGCCATAATGCCAATGGTATCGCTATTGACCAAGCTCTGTCCTGCGGAGTCGTTGTACTTTTGATTTCCAAGTAATAAACCCGACCACAACAACGCTGCCAGACGCAGAGGCACAACACACACTCGCACACACACACACTCACTCATACACACACACAATCCATGTTGACAACGCATTGGGCCAATGTACGAACTGCAAACCGGAATATGTCGCGCTGCCCCAAAGCGTCCTCGAAGCGCCCCGTCGAACGTCCCCTTTGCCGCAATCCCCACACACAACGAGCCCGCCGCAGTGGCCTTTCCCTTTCGTTTGGCCGCAGCGCCGCGCCGTTGCGCAGCCTTTTGATTGATATTGATGCAACTGAATGCTGCAGCATGCTGCACGTTGCAAGCGCAATTGCAATCTTTGCTGCATCTCATTACCATTTCAGGTTGCACGTACATTGCCAATTGTTATGCATACTCTATCCGCAGCGGTCCAGCTGAATTGATGATCCACTTGCGATTGGCCAAAGGCAAATAACTATGACACAATTTACTCGATAATCCAAGATGAGATTGTGATGGCTATTTTTGATTTTTATTATATTTATTTTTTCTACTTGTAGAAAGTAGAAATCTCTATCAATATCTGCTGAATAGTAAATATTTCCATCTCTTTTCTTCATTGCAATTTCGAGTTGGAACTCTTCTAAAAATTCTCAAGAGCTCCGTTGAATCTCTCAGGCATTCTCTCTCTCTGTTAATTAGTACTAACTACAAAGCTCTATAAGATTTTATTTTACTATTTCTTAACCCTCTCATGTACGTTACAGAGCACCTATTAGTCGACCACTTCTCTGGCAACACATTTCTTATATAAAAACGGTGGTCAAATTTACAAGCGAGACTGATATTCATTGCGATTCAATTTGAGCTCACTTAACTTCAGCTGAAGCTGACTTAAGAAATCAACTTAATATAATTACTCTTAACTTGATTCTTATTCATGCTGAACTCAACATTAACCCGAGGCTGCCTTGAAGAACAGTTTAAAATATTAATAACTCCAATGGCAAATCCAAACTTGGTTGGTCAAGAGCATCATTCAGTCTCATTCGCTTATCCAAAGTTTCTCCCTCTTGCATAAATAAAACACACACAAAATGCAATTATTTTTTATTTTGCATTTTTATTTTTAAATTTTATTTCATGTTCATGTTTTGTGTTTTCTTCTTGTTGTTCGTTTGTTTTGGTTTTGCTTCGCCTTTTATTTATTATTTACTTTTATTTTTTGTTTGTTTTCGTATCTTTACTTTTATTTGTATTTTATGCTAAATTGGCTATTTTGTCTGTTGCTTTGTGTCTTAAACTTGTAAATTTTGCGATCTCCTTCATCCTATTGCAATCTCATCTGGCTTAAATAACAGTTATTTCTGGGCCCTACGGTCGATCCATTGCGATGCAATTGATTTCCCGGCCAGGGTCTGAGCATTCATGCATTATATAACTATATATATTTATATATATATATGTATATATAATTCTGTTGGTGCGCCTTTTGATTTCGTATTTTGTATGCTCTCTTTCCCTCTATATGGGCCAATTCGAACCCAGGATTTTTCTTTAGTATTCGTATCGTACTGCTAAAAATTTGTTTTGGTGGTTGTTTACTTTTATCTTGGGCCTATGACTTAAACCTTCGCTTATTGTATTTCGTATTTTTGTATTTTTGTATGCATACTTTCTATTCGTTTTCTTGTTTTGTTTTCAATTATTTCATTTTCTTTTTTTTTTTTTCAACACATTTTCTTTGCACTACAAACGAACTGCGTTTGGGTTTTACTTTATATATATATTTTTTGTATATTCTGTAATATTTAAAAATTAATTTGCCACATAATTTTTGTTTTTGTTTCGCTTAAATACTAGGTATTATGGTATTATATGTGTGTTTGCTTTCCTTTCATTAATAAATAATATTTTGTAAATATTATCATAATAATTAATCATATAATAAATACAATATGCATTTGACCACTCTTTTAAATTTACATATATACTCATACTCATATATATATATATATATATATGTATATGTATATAGTACCATAATTTGCATTTGTTAATAATTAATTTTGTTAGTTAACATGACGACGTGTTTGTTTTTGCTTTGTTAATACAATTCGCAATTTTCGCTTATAAAAACCAAAAAACTCTTAACTCAATTTTACATGGCACACATACAGTTAGGCTATCCATACATAAGTGTAATTGTATATCCAACTATGCATTGATTGGCATGTTTCTAATTAAATTATAATTTATATTTATACAATGCTTCAAACGCTTTAAACTTCTTGTTCGCTTCTCGCGGAATTCTTGGAACTCTGCGTAAATGTTTGCATTTGGGATTTGTTTGTTTGCTTAAATTGGCGTTAGGTTCTTCTAAGTAATTCTTGTTCATTTTTACATTGATCTCTTAAAATGTACTAGTATTTAATATGGCGCACACAATATAATATATGTATTTATGTATATACTATATAGCTAAGATGTTCTATGAAATAATTTACAAAAGCTTTGGCTTTATACACAAAAAGTAAAAATCAGCACGCAAAAAAGTTTTTGCCAGCTCTAATCTCGGGGTTCTGAAAATATTTATTTTACAATAGCGCAAAGTTTTCGTCTTGCTATATAATATTTGTTTGATCATATTTATTTTTACTTAGTTATGGACTATCCAACTTGCCTCTACAGACGCCCATTTTCAAACAACATTTAACATCTGCTACATATATAATATTGTTCTGGATTTTTTTTTTATTAATTTGAATTAATTTATTAATCGTAATTATTATTATTTTCTGTTTTCTTTTTGAGCAATTTTCTGCTTGAACATTTATTTACATCTTGGTATATTTTGTGGAGGGTTCCTTTTATTTGATTTATTTTTTTTTATTTTGGAGCTAATTTACCATTAATATATGTTAAATTCTTAAATATATTTCAAAAATATGAACTTTAAAGAAATTTCAAGAGTTGTTTGGTCCTTGTAAATTATGTAAAGTAATAATGCAGGCGAATAAATAAATATGCAAATAATTTACTGAACCAGAAATAAATGCAAATGCAAAATGTATATTTAATAAATGTAATTTTAAATTTGTAAACTATTTGTTAATTGTACAATTGAAATATTACCTAAATAATCGCATGAATTTAACTTAAGAAATTACAGGATCAAAATGTTTAATTGATATACATGTCTATATATAAATTTTGATCTTTTAACTTTTCAAAATATCTTACAGCTTGTTTATACTTATTTTTTTGCCTATTCGAATGCGCAAAAATTCAAATGGAAGGAATTTGTTCGTGCCTGGTAAGTTACTTGCTTTTCATTTACATTAAAGTATAGTATTTAACTCTGGCTTGACTTGTTTTCATATATTCGTTTTTATTATTTGTTTTTTTCAAGCACTCTCTAACCGCTTTACACTCTAAACACTAATTGCCTCAAAATATTTAACAAAAATCAGTCACTTTGCAAGTTTCTCGCTTGTTTTCTCGAAAAGGAACTTAAAGTACAATAATTATGGTATGCATGGCTCAACTTTTAACAATAGAGATAAACCAAAAAGTATTTCGTTTCATGTTTTAAATATATTTAAATGTACTTTAGTTTTGTTTTCTTTTCTTTTCTATTTTGGCATTCAAGTTAAGCGCTGCTACTAAGTACTACACACGTACACACACAGTTACAGTTATAGTTACAGTTACAGTTACTTACAGCTACAGTAAAAATATCAAGTATTAGTTTTCATTTGTTAGTGTGGGGAGCTGTGGCTAATGCTTAGGTAAAAAGTTGAAATCGCCAACTTAGAAGCCTACAAAAGTGGGTTTGTGTGTGTGTGTTGTGGGTGTGGTAGGAGGGTGAGGGTGTGGGTAAGGGTTCAAGTGGCATAATTTCATTTTGATGCTTTTGCTAATTGGTTACAAATACACATACACATAGCTTTAGAATAGTATTAGTAGTGGTAGTAGTTCTGGGCGATAGCATATAGTAGTACATATGTTTATATAGTAGATATATGTATATATGTATGTATATAAGGGCTTAGACATAGTGGGTAGTACGTAGTACATAGCATAATGAATTGCATGCGTTTATAGTCGACATTCTCTCTTTCATTCACACACTCGCACACTCGTTTCTCTCGTTCGCACTTTGTGTTTGTCTCTTTCACGCTCTTAAGAATTAATGGGCCTGCAGCAGCGTGGCACCAAATAGAGTCAGCGCCAGGGCCAGCTGGAGGTCCATGGCCATCGCCCGCCCGCTCGCCGTGTTATTGCTGAAAACCGGAAAATGGATTTGCTCTGGCCGATTGAGCTCCTCCTCCTCGTCGTCGTCGATGCTGTTCGACATCTGGCGGTGGCGCTTCGTAAAGTTCACATTGAAGACGGCCTCGGCGACGCCACCTGGCGACGAGACAATGAAGTAGAACGTTCGCGGCACACGCTCATGCATGCTGACATAGGTCAAGCGCGCCTCCTTGCAGTAGGGCGTAGGCAGATCCTGAAAGGAAAGAAACGAAAGTTCTTACACTCATTTCCACAGGGCTCAGCGAGTGACCTACCTTGACCGAGTAGGCGAGGACGGTGCTGCCGTACTGATTGCCCGGCGTAAAGACGCGATCGCCGTGCAGCCAGCGTGCCGCATGCGCCGGCGGATTGGCGCAGAACTCCACATTCAAGTGCAGAGGGGAGCCCGGATAGGCGACAGGCGTGGCATTCAGAGCGACAACTGTGGGCGCACCTGCAAAGAGGGAGAGAGAAAGAAAGAGGGGCATAAGTAAATGGATGCTTAATTATTATGTTTAACTAACAAGTTTTGTAATTACTTTCTTTATTAACTTTCGGAATGCCTTGAGAGAGTCGTTTGCTATTTGCGGACCACCAAACCACAATTGCTAAGCCAATTCGTGCACAACTGTACTTTGGCTAAGCCCGCTATAAACACAACTGTACGGCAACGCATCAACCGGGACGCAAACTTAGTTGGCAACGCCATTCGCCACTAATTAAAAGCGTATCACCAACAAAATGAGCCGCTTAGCCAGAGCGCAGAGAAATCAAAATAAATAGAGAGAGCGGGAGAGAGAGAGAGAGCAACATGTCGTCGAGCGGAAAGTTTTTAAGAACGCCGAAACTTCATTAAAAACTTTTGTCGGCTGAAGCGTGGCGCAACGCAATTTTCGTGTGCAACCTCTGTGGGTCACATGTTGAGAGCTGACGCTGCTGGTATGATCTGACGGCGTTAGCCAACACTGCGACAATCCAATTAGACACATGTGCTCAGCCCGCCAAACGCTCGTTGCGCATATTTAATTATCGAAAGGCGAATCCGAATTTTGCAATTTTCCTCATCATTGCCCCGGGCCAGAAAAAGAGATGGCAGCGGGAGTGAAGAGAGTGAGAGAGAGAGAGTGGCAGAGTGGGTGAGTGTGGGAGGGAGAGCGCAGCAGACACTCACACAACAAACTTGAGCACTTTATTTACCAGGGCAACAATGGCGGCTCGGCAAACAAAATGGCCAAAAGTGTTAAGTGCAAATGAGTGTACGGCGGGGTTGCCATCTACCAGCTCCCATCAACCATTTCCCTTCTCCCATTTTCCATCTTCCAACTCCCAGCAGACCCAAACACAAACAAATCGAAGCGCCCATCGACACTTGCCAAATTTATAACTCAAAAGCTCCACAGCCCCCAGCCCCCAGCAACTAACTGTAAAATCAATTAAACCAAGTGAATGCTCGCCACCAGGGCTGCCTGTGTGTCTGTGTCTGTGTGTGTGTGTTGTCAGGGATGGGCTGCTAAATTATGCGTTCAGCGCCATTTTGTAGCCACTGTCGGAATATTTTTGCAGGCAGCTGACAACCCAGCCCGCTGCTAAAAAGAAATGTAATTTATTTGACAGCTAAAACTGATTTCAGTGCGCCCAAAAAGCCTCGCCCAAGCGCTCAAAGAGATTTACATTTTATTTTGTGTGCCAGCATTTTACCCCCAGCTCAGCTCGGCTCGGGCCGGCTCAGCTCTGCTCTGCTCAGGTGGCAGCTCCGTTGGGGGTATGGCCCCAGGGTCAGCGGCTGGCCATTGGTGCGATTCTTAATTTGATTTAAGCGCTAGGCGCTAAATGAAATGAGTTTTGCATTTTTAGCCTGGCATGAGATGCTTATGCACAGCCAGGGCAGAGCTGGCATGGATTGGACAGCCAAATACTGAATGCTTGAAGTGGGCGAGTCACAGGGCGGGCACAGTCAGGGAAAACTAATACAAAAATTATAATTGACGATTTTTATTCTAAAGAGTTTTAGCTGGCGAAATAAATAAATAGATAAACAAGTAAATAAATAAATAGAGGAATAAATATATAAATAAATAGATAACTAACTAAATAAATAAACAAAATAAATAAATAAATAAATAAATAAATAAATAAATAAATACTTAAATAAACAAATAAATAAATACATAAATAAATAATAAAATAAATAAAAAAAAAAAAAACAAATAAATATATAAATAAATGGATAAATGCATAAATAAACAAATAAATAAATAGGTAAATGAATAAAAAATTGAGAGAAATTTTTTCTCAATAATTCTCTATAATTTGAATTTCGGTGTAAATAAAAAAAAAAAAAAAAAAAAAACTGATCCTCTTGTCATTTCGAATTATCGGGATTCTACTGTATATATAATTAAATATGCATAACATCTTCATCGATGTAAAAACCTTATTAAAAGACAGATTTTAGCCAATTTAGAAGGCTATGTGTACTTAAGCATCTTCTATATTAGTTCCGTTAATATTAATTTTGGCAAAAGAGTCTTACAGTGGGCGTAATTTGACTTTATTGATCTGAAATTTATAGATAACTTATGTTTTTTATTAAATAATTGCTGCCATTATTACATATGCTACGGCGACTTTAATACTTTGGAAGATATCGCAGTAAAATATGCTAGGCGTTACTTGTATGATCTGTGAAGAGCATACATAACTCGCGAATTACCATTGGTCGTTTTTGAATATCTCTGATAAAAACTATGAGAACAAACGATAGCCTCGGTTCTTCAACGAGTTCGTTCACGATCGGGCAGAGCCCTCTTTTCCGTTCTGATTTTTCTCCGACCTTTCAGCTGAGTTAAATAAAGCAAATAGTGTTCTGTGCATGTATTGGTATAGTATTCCCTATTTGCCCACCAACTGAGTCCCATTGTGCGAACGTCAATTGCATCTCTCCTTCAACGATGCTCGTGAGAAGATCGGCACATGAGTAGCCCTCACTTCGCTCAACAGAAAATATAAACGAAAAGAACCGAAGTGTTTTGCTTGGAGGGAGAACAGTTGAGGGAGAACAGTAGAGAAAAGTATGCTTTCGTGCATAGAGCGTAAATAATCAAACAGTAATAGTTACTTGCGGGCTATAATAAGAGTGCTCAAAATTGATTCAAGTCTGTGTGATTCTTGCTTTCAAATAAAATATATATATTTTTTTTAAATTAATTTTTATGTACAACTAAATAAAACTGTAAATAAAGTTAGCGTATATAAGTTTGGACGAGAAAATAATTTTTTTTTTTTTTTTTTTTGTATTATAATTGATAATATATTAATAGTCTCTCTGATTTAAATCGAGAGAAAAATAAAGAAATAAAACAGTTACTAAAATGTTTAACGCCATCTTAGTTAAGTTTACATATATTTTATTATTACTTATAATTTAGATCGAGCACATCTTATTGGACTTTGGGCCAGTTGGCAAACTTTGGCCAGCTGCTTGCACTTCATTAATGCAATTAGGCGACGCTTTAGTTCATTGCCTGGCATAAGCAGCGCAGGAGGCGGTCGCCTCCCTTCGTTTGCACAATGCAATTTGCATGTTTTGCCTACTTTTGAGGCGTGCCAAGTTTTTGAAGGGGGTGGGTGGGGAGGCCAGCAGGCAGCGAGCACCGAACAGGCGAACCATTACCTTCGCCCAAATGGACAACATTTACAGCTACAGGAAAATTAACATTTAAACAATAACAACAAGTTGGCATGTACTACAATTGGTGCTAGAGCGCCAGCAACAGCAACAATAACAATGAGACCCAAAATAATAAAGTTTTACAGCTGAAAATTACTCAATTCCCGTTACTCGAAAAAGTTAACTTAATTTTTGCAGTTGCCTTTTGTGAGCAAAGTTTCCAAAGAGGTGCAGTGCCAGCAACAACTGAAACGTTTTGCAACACTTTGTCGGCCACGTCGCCCCAGTTGGCCAGACAATGGACGAGCCAGTCTAAATGACAGGGTAGCAAAAGCTGTCGAAGGGGGGCGCTGGGGGCGGGGGCTGGCAGTGGGGCTCACCAAGGACTGCTATGGCCCAAACTGCGCTCCCAATTGATTGCACGTGGCTGCAAGTTTTTTTTTTTTTTTTTTTTTTTTCTGCTCGCTTTGCATAAAGTGCGTGGGCGGGCGACAGTGCTGGAAAACGCACTCGAGTCGCTTGGACGTTGCAAAAATAATAATGACCGAAAATAATTGAATTTTCGCATTCATTCGCGTGTTGCAATTACTTTGTCAGCCGCGCCCGAAACACAAACTCACTCTCTGCTCCTCACGCCTCTCTCTCTCTCTCTCTCTGTCGCTCCCGCTTGTTGTCTCTCTTTCTCTGGTTGTTGCCTGCCTGTCTTGTTGCATCAACTTTTTTTTTGCTTTATTATTGTTTTTACTATGCTTCGCGATTTTCCCCTTTGATCATTGTGCGCTATGTGCGAAACTTGTGATTTTCCCAATTTTTCTTTTCCCCAGCGCACAAAAATGCGTGTCGTCCCGCTGTGAAGCCTTTCACTCATGTTGCGTTAAAGTCCTTGTTAATTGAAGAGTGTGTGGTTCACTTAGTTGAAACAGTCGTTGCAAGGATTCAAGGCATTTTTGTATAAAAACTACTTTTGGCCGGGCTCTAAATTCACTATTCTTCGATATCTTTTATAATTTCTTCTTGAGCGATTAAGTTGAATATATTTATTTTAAATAATATTAAGCAAATGGTGTGGACATTTTTTTTTTCAAGTTCAATGAAGCAAAAAGGGTTTTGTGTATTTACATCGATTGAGTGTGAGCATGCATAAGAGATGATGAAAATCGTGAAGATCACACACTGAAGTCACATTATCGTATCGTATAATCGTATTTCTCCCTAAATTATGCTCGTCACACGAATAGCTCAGCTCAAAGAGTTCAACAGCAACAAAAACGAAAAGAACCGAAGTGCTTTCGTCTGAGTGAGAGAGAGAGGGAGAGAGAGAGTGAGAGAGAGTCAGAGAGAAAGAGCGAGAGTGACTATGACAAAGCGATTTTCGACTGTTATTATTTGAACTCTTATAAGCAAACACATATAAATTTCAATGAACAAGAGTGTTTCAATATTTAAGTTGTTTGTTCAGCTATCAATTATTAAAATGATTATTTATTAATCAGTAAGATTGAACATTCTGATACGACAAGTCGTAAATGTACATGATTAGTATGGTTTGAGTGTAAAGAAATTTGTAGCACAGCTAAAAAGTTTGAACCGCAGTACCATTGCTTGTACTCCTTCCAGGTGGAACTTGTTAATGTGAGGAAAGTATAGCCACCTCAGCAGTTGATAGTAATTTTATTTAATATTAAAAGAGAATCAGAAAAGTCGGTTCAGCGCAAAGCAGCTGAATAGAGCATCGATATATAGTTAAGCCAATTTTCCAACATTTTAGAGTTTTACATAAATAG